CTAGTAAGGCACCTGTTACTACTAGCGTGGCACTTGTTCCTAGTAGCGTTCTTTTTGCATTTTTTCGGTCGTCCCTCATCCCAGGCCTTGGGAAGAAGAAAGTGGTGAAGTACAAAATGGAAAAGCAATGCCAGGCTGGGTGTCGTTTCGAGCATCGAACCTAAAGAGCAGAAGTGCATTGTGTCGTGTAAGAAGTGTCTCTCTAGGTCGGAGGCCATCGCTACTAGTAACAAGGGCATCGCTACTAGGAGCAAGAACGCTATTGGGGGGCGCTTCTGGCATTACTACTAGTTACTAGTAGCAAGGACGCTACTTGGTTGGAGGCCATCGCTAGAAGGATTCTCAGGGTCTCTCTCGGTCTGTCTCGGAGAGGTCGGTGAGCGTGTGAAGTGCGCTGACGCGCCTGGAGCTCGGACCGGAGCAGCGAAGCTGAAGCTGAGACTCCGAGGAATTTTGACTAGTAGCGTCCTTTGCTCCTAGTAGTAATGCCCTTGTTACTAGTAGCTTCTTGTTACTAGTACTACGGCCAGGAGCCCCTAGTAGCGTCTTGCTCCTAGCAGCGATGCCAGGAGCCCCTAGTAGCGTTCTTGCTTTTAGTAGCGATGCCAGGAGCCCCTAGTAGCGTTCTTGCTTTTAGTAGCGATGCCGAGTCTTACTTCTGGCCAATTCAAATATGAAAATGAACAAAAGTATCAAGAGGCATCTTAGAGGCAAGTGTAAGCGTCTTAGAACAAAGGTATCTGTAGTTCGCATCTGGAAGTGAAAGCGTTTTTAGTGTATCGAGGAACGTGAAGTGTTGGGGAAGCATGTGCTGCCCCGATGGTGCGTCGGGACTTAGTTCCGAGAAGTGAACGGAGCATGGCGTCTACGCATAAGTAGTAACAAGTGCCACGCTAGTAGTAACAAGTGCCTTACTAGTAGTAACAAGAAGCTACTAGAATTAAAAATAAATAAATTGAATTTAAATTAATAGCTTCTTGTTACTACTAGTAAGGCACCTGTTACTACTAGCGTGGCACTTGTTCCTAGTAGCGTTCTTGTTACTACTAGTAAGGCACTTGTTGCTAGAAGCGATGCACTTGTTACTAGTAGCTTCTTGTACAAAACATTCTTCCCTCAGATCGACACCTCAACAGGTCGCATCAAGATTTGACCTATGTTCGCCTCTCTTTTGAAGGTATGAAGTTTGGCGCCATAAGAGATACAGTGCAGATGAAGAGTCGGTCTTTAAGGGAGTGACTAAGTGACTAAGTGAGTTTAGCTCGAGCCAAAAGCCAGTGGACCTCAGGGATCGAGAACGACTGAGGCCTTGCCCTTCAGCAGCAAAGACCACCAAATGCTGGAAACCGAAGTTCGCAGATTGTACCCCACCGGACCGAGTTTCTTGTACCGTCGCATCTCGTTTTTTTTTTGTTTGGTAATCGGCTTGTTCTGTGCGCCTTCTTCGGGGTTTCTGCAGCCCATCTCGGCTCCTTGGAAGAGTTTTTCAGAGCGCGGAGTTTGTCATGGAGCAGTGGCTTGGTGGAAGGATCCTCCACCAGACTATGCTTACTACTAGGAACAAAGGGCATCGCTACTAGGAGCAAGGACGCTACTAGGGGCGCTCCTGGCCTTACTACTAGGAACAAGAAGCTACTAGGAACAATAAGAGGGTGATTATGCTTACCCAAAATTACATTTTTTGAATCACAGATGTCTTCGGCTAGTTAGGGACCTGGGTAGACTCAACCTATGGTTACTCGGCAAAGGTCCCATGCCCTTTGGAGGACAGGTGACTGTGACCAGTGGTGGCATGGGAGTTTTATGTAGTCCACAGATGTCCACAGTGTATGTCATCTCACCTGCTTCAATGCCCACAGAAGTCGTGTAATGATTCCAGCAGTTCTTGCTAGTTCTTGCCCCGACACTTCGGCTGGCAAATCCCCCGCCGCTAAATGGAATCCATTGACTGCTACGAGAATGACTTTGATCATCTTTCACATTTGTCGGACATGAACATGTTGGACGGTTATTTCTGTTTCTGAGGCACGTGGTCTTCATCAACTTTCCCGCTACGGGGCACATGAACCCCACGCTGCCGCTGGCCAGAGAACTCACTGCGCGAAACATTCCGGTGACTTACTTTGTGAACGAAAGAGTGCGAGAAGTGGTTGAAGCGACGGGTGCCACATGGCGCGCCCTCCAGGACCCGTCCCTGTGACACTCACACTGATCTGATTCATTTTGAAGATTGCAATTTTAAGCTGCTACTTTTTCATTGTGCAGTGAAATACAACAGAGAAATCGCGTTGGACTCGAGTGTCCGATGAGCGAAGACAGGACCCCAAGCATCTCACCGAAGAGCAACTCGCAAAGTATGTCCCACCGGATGCTGCAAAGGAGGACTACGAGTTTCCCATGTCCGTGCTGGTCTTCTCTGCGTCGCTCCAAGAAAAAGCAGTGTTTCAATTTTTTCCGTAAAGTTTGCATATCTTCATCCTAACTTTCTGCTTCTGCTTCGACTCTTGTTAGATGTTGCTTTCAGTGCCTGTCACCAATATACAGACCGGACCGACAATCGGACACAACCGGACACACGGCGGGACTCAAGGTCCAACCTACAGGTCTTGTACACCCGTCCCGTTGAAAGCAGAGAAGGTTTGCGTATGTCTTCTATCTTCTATTTGTCTTCTTTGTATATCTTCCCTTCACTTGTAGACCACGTTTTGATTTCCTTTATCTTCCTTGAATTGAAAGCTTTCTACTGAGGCGACTAGAATTGGCTGTGTAAGTCGCCTTACGAATCGAGGTCCTGCGCACCGCAGCTTATCCAAGAGCTGCGAGCCCTGAAGCCACCACCGAGTGTTATCCTCTACGACCCGTTCTTACCCATAGCACCTTAGCAGACTTCAGATTTTGTGCCCACCTTATGTCAATTTCAAGAGAAGCCCTTAAATGGATTTCCTTCTTTTTATAAAAGTCCTTCGTATCACCTTGGTGTTGATGAAACGCATTGGAATGCTGTCTTCTAAGGTCTTAGGTCTGGAATGTCGACCGAATACATCTGAACACCTATCCTTTTTAATTGCTTTTCTTCCATCTTCTTTCTTTTCATTTATTTTGTTTTTCTGACATGTCTTAGATGTTTTTTCCGCCTGCTTTTTGTCCGTCGCTTTCTTCGAGCCAAACCAAGGGCTTGGTTGCGGCACAAGAGCTGGGCATCCCCTGTGTGGGTACCGTCACAGTTGCCGGACCTGGTGTTATCGAGGCCGAGATGAAACAAAATCAAAATTGTACCTGCTTCTAGGCTCCTCGTGCAAGAACCGATTTCCGGCTCTTGAGAATATCGTTGATATTGTGCTACCAACCTGCCCTGCATCACACCATCGTTTCATGAAGTTTCCCAACATCCTTGCACCGCAGTCACGGTGGAAGGCTTTTGTGGGACGGAGAGAATGATGATCGATTGTCACAAAAAAAACAACTAATAGAATTCCTGGTCGTCTACAAAGTACCGAGCCATTAGACACCTTGCAACCGTGTCCACTTGAGAGTACACCGGTGGATTTACTCTTGTTGAACAGCTACATTATACAATTACATGGTATCGCTTTGATCAGAAGCCTGAAGATCTGCCTGTGACTAGCTAGCTCTCACCCAAGAAACACACAAACAAGTTTTACAACACGCTTTGCACATCTTTGCACCAAAGAAGTGGCAAAGCTTGCAGTTGGCTCTTTACAGGTACCTCCGCCAGTACGACAGAAATGGGAATCGACACTTTGACATGTTTTGGATTTTCGTTTCTGTTTTTATTTTTTAAGCAAGAAGCAACTAGGGGCAGGGAAGCTACTAGGGGCTCTTGGCATCGCTACTAGGGGCAAGGACGCTACTAGGGGCTCCTGGCACTAGTAGGAACAATGTTCGCTACGAGCGACGGGCATCGCTACTAGCAGGTAACAGGTATGTCGGTATGTCTACTGTTTGTCACACGGCGCCAAGGAACGGAGTCTCTCAGAGAGCATGGCAAGAACTGAAAGACCTTTACAACTTGGACGTTTTCGAGCACGGCTCCTTCTTGGAGTTCTACTCCCCGCATCAAAACATTGTCTCCACTTGTGACTCTCTCTATACTGGCCCCAAGACCCCACTACAGCTCGAACGCTTTGGGAACTTCCCTTTCGAAGCTCAGTTTAAGAGAATTTCGAGCATCTGTTTAGCTTCAAGGCTTGTGTGTTTGTTCGTTTTGGCTTAAGTCACATTTGGGTTTCAAGGGTGCGATGTTTTGCTGGTACATATCTCATTTATTTATTGTGTTTTTCTTGAAGATGGCTTCTGATTTATGATAAATTCTACTTGTTTTGGTTCTTGTTCCAGGAACGTGTCGGGCCCTTGCTGAATTCCAAGATTTTGCGGCTCTCCAATGCGGAGCTTGGTGGCACTGTGCCCACGCTGCCGCCTGAGGTGGACGCAGCCATTGCCGCAGGCGAACCAAAAACAGGTTTCCAAACCAAAAAAGAGCAGATGGTTATGATTGGTTATGTATTTTTGTGGATGCTTGGAGCATACCCAGACATATCAAGGTTCGGCGAAAGAACGCTGCATGCTTTTCTCCACGTCGCAGGCAAGAAGATTTTGTACCTGTCTGCTGGGACGGTGGCGACCGGGCACTTTTGGAGCACCAAGTTCGGCCCCCAGGCACGACGTCGAGAACACTGTGCCCAACCCGATTTGTGGGGTCTGACATGGTCTGACTACCCTGCGCTCTTACGCTTAATATTCTGGGATGGTTTTAATGTGTTAATATGTCTACTACAATGTACAATGTTTTTTCGCTTCAGCCCTAAGGGCCATTGTGAACCTGTCGCCATTTGCCGCCAGGCGTTTTCCAATGGCCTCGATGACTGCACTGGAAAGGAGTTTGTTCAGCTGCTCTTTCGGACGGTGTTCGAAGCCTTTGGAGGTGATGATGAAATGCTGATCGTGGTCAGCACGGCTCACAAGGAGAGGATGACAGAGTTTTGATTTGATTTGTTCCTCTACCCCCCCGCGCCCCGCGCGCGCGAAAAAGCTCCTAGTAGCGTTCTTGCACCTAGTAGTAAGGCCAGGAGCCCCTAGTAGCGTCCTTGCCCCTAGTAGCGATGCCAGGAGTCCCTAGTAGCGTTTTGTTACTAGTAGCGTCTTGTGACTGTTTGTGTATTTCCTTTTACTGTTTTGGTTGGTATGGGCCTTGCTCAGGATGCCCTTGAGTGTTTGGAGCTCCCGAGCAACTTGGTGGCCCAGCAGTCGCTCCCGCAGCTGGAGCTGTTGCAGAAGTGCAATGTCTTTGTCACCCATGGAGGTGCCAACAGTGTGCACGAGGCTTTGAGCTTTGGTGCCTTGGAACGTGAGCCTGAAGACGCCATTGCCTTTCTCTCCTAACCGTCCTAACCTGTGAGATTGTTTAAACATGTTTTACACATGTTTTATTTTTTCACCATATCTTAGGTGTTCCTATGGTGGTGATTCCCATCTTTGGTGATCAGCCCGTGAATGCCGACACCGTGGCAAAGACGGGCTGCGGGATCTCCTTCCGTCACCCACTGGAGACTTTAAATCCGACCGCCTTGAAGGAGGCGATGGACGAAGAATGCCGAAGACTAGTAACTAGTAGCTTCTTGTTACTAGTCATAATGCCAGGAGCTACTAGTAGCGTCCTTGCTCCTAGTAGCGATGCCCTTTGTTACTAGTAGCTTCTTGTTACTACTAGTCATGGCCTCCAACCTGATAGCGATGGCCTCCAACCTAATAGCGAATGATAGCGAATGTAGATTAAGAGTGGAAGAATGAGATTCAGAGTGAAGAGCAATTCGACGCATCAATTGTCGCATGTTCAATCGCATTTCCAACCCAAACCTTGTTTACTTTTGCGATTGACAAACGTTTGCTGGCCCCTAGCTTTGTCAATTTGTCCTCTTCAATGACACCAGGACAGTTAATATCTTCATTTGGTTCGTAATGATTCCTCGCGGAACTATTTGGAAGAAACTCGATTTTGACCTGCATAGGCTCCACAGATTGTAGAACATGCAATCAATAAGTTCTGACAGAGTCAGAGTGCATCAAAACAGCTTTGAGGAGGCCGGAGGCCTCAGAAACGGCCACAGCTATGTGTTTTGTGGAGGCGGTGGATCAACTGATGATGCCCTCCGTCCGTGAGTCGCTGGATGCGCTGCGTGTGGAGCTCTCTGCTTCAGGGGGTGTGGTGAAGGCAGCGGAGGTGGTCCTGGCAGCGAACCGCAAGATGGCGGGCATGGCCTGGGGCGGTGCCTGAAGGGCACGGCAAGGCGACGCAGTTGTATAAGAGAAATGAGTAAAACTGTCGAGGTTTCCATGGACAGACAGTTTTTGGACTATGGACTATATAGTTACAATTGATCATGCAACTCATTATCTTGCAAGATGCTACCAAGTTGAGGCTTGACAAAGATAAGAGTTCAGGGATGCCAAAGCATGAACACTGACCTGCCAGTAAAAGTCAAATTGACATTGAGTCTTGAGGCCGTTTGCTGATATGGTTAACTCTCTCTCTCTCTCTCGAATGATGCCTATGCAGAAGCAGCAGTGGTTCGACTATTCCTTCTTGCTCTTCCAAAGAAGATTTTGGGAGCCTTAGTACTGACACCCAGAGAGGTGTTAGAGAATTGGAGAGATTTGCATGTGCTTGGTGATCCGTACAGGTAAAGGTCACGCAAGATGACTCACCAGGCGTCCAAAAGAGAGAGTCTTCGTCTGGCTCTGTCGATTGTGGCGCCATTCACAGAATCGGCAATCTCAAGGGCCTAACATCGATGCGCAATGGCCTTTAGTCGTAATGCCAGGAGCTACTAGTAGTGTCCTTGCTCCTAGTAGCGATGCCCTTTGTTACTAGTCGCTTCTTGTTACTAGTAGCGATGGCTTCCAACCTACTACCGATGGCCTCCCTCCTAGTAGCGCGTCCAGGAATCTTTCGCATCATTTTCAAGTCTTTGTCGGCAGGACACGACATTGCCACCGACTGAGAAGCCCTGGTTCAGAGACTTTGGCCAGGTGCGAGCAATGAGTTGCAAAGAAGGTAATGCCACGATCAAGAGAAAGTGAAAGAAGAAAGAGATTTACAATAAAATAATGGTCCCTTGGACAAGGCCCAACACATCCAATGTGTTCATTGAATTGACTTGGCTTCGTTCGTGACTAGTCCGGACTTCAACCCTTACGGCGAAAGCAATGTGCTTCGCTTTTCTTCACCGATCATTGGGGGGATTGACATCACCCTTGTGTCGACTTCGGGGGATTCTAATTAAGTTCTATTTAGTGCTCAATAGATCTCAATATAGCTTAGACAATATAAACGGTTTATAAACTGTTTATGTATGTTTTGTTTTGCATTATTTTTGTCTCTTTGTGGTTTTTGATCTTCAGGAGCGGTCTCAATCGAGGTCTCACGAGGCAAGTCCAAGAGTTTCCGACGTCGTGACGCACTGACCGTGACTCATACTGCTTGACTGTTTAGACACCATTTCTTTTGATTTGTAAAACATTATTTGTATCTTATTTCTCAGTAAGACACACAAACACATACATCACGGTTTCGTTTTTAATGCTCCGTGCTGAAGTGACATGCGCTTTGTTGAATCCAAACATTGCCGGAAATACTCATGGAAGTACTTACAATCACTTTTGTACAAGGCTTCACTCGGTGCTTTGGTCGATCAACCGCGACGCTGCAGGAGCGTGATTCGTATGGTGATTCCTACGGTGATTCAATCGATTCGAGGCACTCTCGATACTCAGACGAGGCAGGGAGAATTCGTTCGTTGCCGACTCAGACAAAAGTCGATGGATTTTGATGTGCTTGGTTGTGGTTCTTGGAGCAGTCTATGACTCCAGCTGTCCAGCAACTGGTTGACTGTCAACGACGACAACCACCCGCCGCACCAGTGGCTCTCAGAGAGAGGGTAAAATGAAGTCTCTCTCTATATAATACACTGATAAATCGTTTACTTTAGTTTTTAATGTCTTACTTGCAATTTGCAAGCATTGTGGGATGTATTTTTCGAGCACCCTTGTAATTGCACGTTTTTCTACAATACTTTGCCACTCAACTTGCAGAGTTTCACGCCAGGTGTGCTTTAACCTTTCTCCAAAATAAGAAGGGCTCTCCTTCCAAAGAAGTTGGAACGTTGCGTTCTGACGACTTGCGTGTGTTGGCATTCTTGCGAGTGGTTCGCTTACCCGCTCTCGCGCCGTTGGGTGACTCACTTGATGATTCCATCTACACTGGAAAAGCTTTGGCAGTGGATTCGTTGCTTGAAATGGAGCAGTAATGTTAAGTCTCCTCGGCTTTGCAACATTTCGTGGCTTGCGCTTGTTTGGAACTTTCGTAATTATTCTGGCCTTGATATGGGCTTGAGTGCTGGAGGTAAGAACAGTTCCAGATCGGCCTATTGCGTAAGGAGTGTTAAAGGTAATGAGGTAATGAAATGGCCAAGCCTGTCCCTATCTTCGCTCAGACTCGTATGATGGCTAACGCGGTTAGGACCTTTGAGAAAAACCTTGGATCGTCCGTGTTCCCTGCCGATCGTGTGGCCTTCTCGAGATCCCTGTCAGGTCTTGGCGCTTGTTTTCGCGCCTCTGGTATTGGGGCCAGGTGTGTTTTTTGAGCACGCTGCGGTTTCCGCCTTCCAGGCTTTTCTTGCAAAGCTTCCCGCTAAGGGACCACTTCGTAGTACTTTCCCGGATTAATTGGGTCACTTTGTGTTGATGCACGCCCTCTTAGAGGCTGTTTCCGCATTTTGGTTCGTGCATGCCTTGAAACCTTTTCGCTCGCTCATTTCGTTCGTAGTTTGCCGGTCAGGCGTTAGTCCGGGCCTGCGATCGTGCAGCTTGAGGGGGAGAACAGTTTACTGTTGGGTTCTATCTTGGAAAAGAAGAGCCAGCCACACTGACTGGCCGCACCCCTGAACTCTGTGGCCGGGTGATTCAGGGTGCTGAGTGACGTCCAATGGGGTGCCCGCGAAAGAAGCGGGTTCGCGTAGGGGCCCGTCTCATACTGTTGATAGATGTGGCGCCCGATAAGTGCCCGTGAGACGCAGTGGACATTGTCAATTTTTGCACGAATATGGTCAACATCTGGAGAGGAGTGTGGCCGAACAAATAGCGATGGCGATGTCGATGCCGACAAAAGTCATTGATGAAGCAGTTACTCTTGCGGGGGGAAGGTAGGGTGTACCAAGACATTGTTTTTGATTGACATTAGTCCAAACGAATCGTTTTGAAACTGTTTGGGGTCCATGCTGGTATGACTAAGGCTTAAGGGAGTCGAAAAATAGAGTATGTACAATAAGCTTTGCAATGTGTATGATCGAGGCAAGACCCAACTTTTTGACCCTCTTACAAATTGTTTGGTTCCCCATACTGTTGGGGTTCTCTCTTAGGAAAAAAGAGCTGGCCACACTGGCTGGTGCTGGCCAACCCTGTGTCCTCCTTTTGTCTGCCTCTTGTTCTCATTGTTCTCCTCTTGATCTCCTCTTGTTGTCCTGTTGTCCTTCTCTTTTCCTCCTCTTGTCGTGGCCAAGCAGGGGACAAGGCCGGGACAAGGCGTTGATAAAAGGGCCGACACCGTGGACAAGAAAGACAGGCAGACCTGGACAAAGGACCAGAAGAGGAAGAGGAGGACACACACGGGTTGCAAACGTGGGAATAGAAGCAGGAGGAGGACTCCAGGAGGACTAGAGAAGGACTCAGGTTTCGCCAGCGCGGCGAGAGGGAGGACAACTGGAGGACAAGAGGCAAGAAGAGGACAAGACAAGGACAAGAGAAGGACAAGAGGAGAGAGGAGGAAAAGAGAAGGACAAGAGGAGGACAAGAGGAGGACAAGAGAAGGACAACAGGAGGACAAAAGGAGGATCCAAACAGCTGGAGGCTTTTGAAAAGTATACTTAATGCGGTATAATTATGTCTTACTTGCAACTTCCAAGCATCGTTGATATATTTTCGACCGCCTTGCAACTGTACTTTTGCAGGGGTCCAGACTGTATTAGCTTGCAGGCATTTGGTGCAGTACACGATGCAGTTGCAACCAGCTGATCCATATGACATCAGGAAAAACTATAATATAATAAATTGCAACCAGTTTTGATGCATATGATGCACCCATGAAAGATTTATGATGACAGACTGAGAGGAGTCAGTCTTTGCCTTTCATGGACCCGGTGATGCAAATGATACGGCAATGAAACATATATCCAAACATAGACTATAGATGACGTGTGAAAACCATTTGGTTTTCCATGTTCTTTCCACTTCCACTCCTCTCCCATACACACCTCGTGATTCAGGATATGCATTTTCGTTCTCGAACGAAAAGGCCGCCCTTAGCTACAACTATATAGCGATGAATGCACTCCAACACTTTCAGTGTGGGCGGATTTGCTTGGTACTCGCACTGTTGCGCATGGGTTTGACAGCTTTGTTCCGGTCCTGCTTTCGATCCACATGGTCCACTTCGCAGGAAGGAGGAGACTTCTATGGCGACAGTTCCTACGACAGTTCCTTTGATTCGAGGCGCTCTCGATACTCCGATGAGGCACGATGAGTTTGGTCGCTGGTTTGACAGAATGCTAAAATAGTTCTGAGGGCTCTTGGAACACAAGGGTGACATCAGAACTATATTTAGATACATGTCTGATGGAGTTGTTTCTATCTGAAGTTGATGCAGGCTTCAAAAGCAGTGTTGACCTGTTGTTGTCTTGAAACTGCAGCACAAATCAACAAATTGCTTGACATGTTCGAGAACTGTTTGGTCACATTTGCCAGCTCTTTTACACTTGGCAGGAACCATCTCGTGACTTCTATGGTTCTGACGGCTCTGGATACTCTGATGAGGCATGCTGGGTTTGACGAAAAAAATCACCAGCCAGTCAGACCCAATCTGCGCTCTTGATTGCGACAAACTATACAATCTATGATTATATATCTATATTGTTTATATTTAGTTAGATAGCCGCATAACATACACAGTGATGCGCTGAAGAGAAGGAATCCTTTTGAGATTGGTGTTGTTGAGTTCCTCAATCCACTTGGTTGCATGGCCGTTCACCGAGTGATCCTTGCAGGAAGGAGATTCATTTGGCGAGGATTCCTACGGTGATTCAATCGATTCGAGGCGCTCTCGATACTCAGATGAGGCAGGGAGAATTCGTTCGTTTTTGCGTCCAACACTCTATCAAACTTAATTTTCACCCAAAACTAGGACCAAATGAATAGTGCAAGCCTGAACTTTCCTGCGTCCAGCTACCTACTTACTCCCTTACTTAGCTTAAGCCTCTTCATACCGGCCTCCCACCAACTGTGTGCATTTGTGAACATCCAAATGTTTGTATGTTTGCATACCTTCTTTTAGAATGTCTTTTCCTTGAACTGAACAAGTCAGGAGATGCTTATCTTTTATACAACAGGGGGTTGCGGAAGTTCATTTTAGAGATGGTGCAGATGGTGCTATTTACTGTAACATTCCCTGTATTTGAAGTCTCACAGGGTACATGTTGTGTGCAGATCTGCACAATTTCAATATGTATCCTTTTTGTTGCCAGGCCGGGGCAATATGGATATGATTTTTAAAGCTTGGCGTAGGTCTTGAATTCTGTGTGGCTCACAAGAAGAAGGAAAGACAACCAAGAAGAGAGAAGGGGAACGCATATTGGAAAAAGGAGATGATGATGACAAGAAGAGCAAGGGGACATCGAGCTTATTCTTTACATTTCTTTACTATAGTTAGATTCTTGAAATCGGCTCCATAAACTAACACCGCTTCCGAAAGCTTGAAAGCTTTCTGACATCAAGCTCTTCAGAAAAGGGTAAAAGCAAGTCAAAATGAAATTCAACCGCGCGGGGAAGGGACAATCGATCAAAAAAGGGACAAACTAAGCAAAGGGAAGACCAATTATAGAGTGGAACGGATTTTTCTGCCACAGCCAAGATGAAATTGACCTTTGACGTTGAAGGAGTTTATGGGCAGGATTCCTAGCAAAAAGAGGCACTCACTATTGTCATACAGTTCATTATTGAAAAAAAACACTATTCAATCCAACCTGCAGATCCGGCATTGACTTTTGAACTCATAAGATACGGCAGGGCCCCCTCTGGCCGCACCTTCACTAGCGGCTACTCTACTTCATGCCTATGCCGCATGCCTTTGGGTGTTGGCCTTTGTTCACAACTCATTGCAAGCTTTCTGCAAAATCCTCAGGTTCTTCTGCAAAGATGCGAAACCTAATAGCAAAAGGAACCTAATAGCGACGGCCTCCAACCTGAGAGAGATGACCTCCAACCTACTAGCAAAAGGAACCTAATAGCAAGCTTTTTGCAAAATCACACACACACACATATATATATATATATATATTTATAGATGCGAAACCACCTGGCTCTTTGCGGACGTTCTCATTCCTTTCGTGATGGCAACACTCCACCCCAACAAGGTCACTGCCAACGCCTTTCATGACATGTTCGGTTCACACTTGGTTGAGATGTGATTGGTTTAGCCTGCAGAACCTTCTAGATGGTCATCAGAAATCAAAGGGCAGCGAGTTTTGACCAAGCCTCGACAGGAACCATCTCGTGACTTCTACGGATCCTCTGGGGACTCTGAGGCGGGATTAGGGACGAACACTGCAAGAAATACCTGTTTTTTGGCAAAAGTCCCTTTTTGTGCAGAAATCACGTGGCAGCGACAGACATTTTGTCGAAGGAGCGATCCAGCGAATTCTTTGGAGGCTCATCGAACTCGGAGGCTGTCCTTTGTCGACATGTCGATTGACTTGGTGCGCTGTACTTGCGTGGTGAGCTGTTCAATCGCGTTGCATTCTTTTTCGCTTCAGAGCTCTTGGTGAAGTTCAGGATGCTTCAGATTCCTGGGGCGACGACTTTGGCGATTCCTTTCAGGCGGGATTTCGCAGCCACTTTGAAAATTCCGCACCGTTTATACAATGGCCTCCTTCGTTTGAAAGTAAATCAGTTTACTTTCCACAAATCAAGCGTGAGTATTTCTTCAGGACAGAGACCGAATGGCCAAGGATGACGAGGTGGGTGCGGGGTGTGGTGCGTCATCGAGCATTTCTTACGAGTGCAGAGAACGTACGACCTACGCGTACGTGCGAGTATTGTGGGATGTGTTTGTTTTTTCCGCAGATCGCGCGAGCTATAGGGGTTCTTACTAGTATGGGAATGGGTGCCTGTGGGCGCTTTGCAGCGGTGGCATAACTTTTCGAAGTCTCTACAGATCGAAAAGGAGGCACCCAGAGTAGCTTTCAAGCCTCGTATCGAACCACATATTTGCCATACAGAAAATGCTTATTCCAATTCACAGATTCCTCTTGTGAGACAGATGGACACAGATTTCTTCAAAAAAAACCAGTCGCAATTGCGTTTGTCAGTGGCATACAGTGTTCTGCAGTCTCAGTATGTCTCAGTCGCAGTTGCAATTGAGGCGTCCAAGGTGAGTGATGAGGCGATGCTTGTTGCGTAGCTCGTTGCGTCAGCAGGGGTAGGTGAAGGCCACCGGGTTTTCGAGAAAGTGAAAGCGTTCCTGAAAAAGTTGAAGGAAGATTAGGAAAGAAGAAAGGACATGGAATTGGAATGTAAAAGGAATTGGAAGGAGTAAGCTTCTGTAAGGAATGTGGCAAATATGGGGAAGAACGAAGATTGTAAGGAAAGGACACAGGATTAATTAGTGGACGTCCTCCAAAGTTCTGGTGGTACCGTTTTGTCAACAGCCAAAAACAATCGAAGTGATGCTGTTCACAGAAACTGCAGTCCTTGCTGAGTCTTGGCACTTGCAGTTTTGTCATGGATGGCACTTGGCTCAAAGACGAAAAAGGGCGGTTTTGGCAATGCTCAAGACCAATGCTCGACAATCTGGGAAACCGTTTTGTGTTTCCCGCGCCGCAGCCCTCCTATGGACCACAGTCCTATAAGAGGAACCTCTGTTGGATCCCATGGAATTCCGTCATCTCCCCCAAGCGTGTGGAGGAGGGGAACAGCGGCACGGCTTCAATTACTGTAGACTGTTGCTTTGCAAAAAGGAGCCTGGCGAACATGTACAAAGGAAGAAACTCGCTGAAAACAAAGGAGAATATTAGGTTGGAGGCCATCGCTATTAGGTTGGAGGCCATCGCTACTAGGT